TTTCAGTTATTGGTGATTTTATTTTTAATTCTATAACAATAAATTCTGCTCTATCTATATTTATTTTAAAAGACTTAGCTATTTGTTATGTAAAAGAAATGATTGGAGAAATAAGTTGCCAGGTCTCCTACTTAAATTTCCTGAGTGATATAATTGGAATTAAATTATTAATGGGAGATACTTTTAAAAAGATTGTTTTATGATCTTCTATTAGGGAATTTGCAATTCATTTTAATATTTGTAGTTTGATTTATATTAAAGATAATGCAATCTATGTCCAATTAACAATACATGCCCAAATGTAATATGATTTCCAGATCATGCAAATGCAAAAAGCTAGAAGAGGGGGAGAAATTCAATTCTTAACTTCAGATGTAATTTGCTGTGAGAGTTCCGGCAATTTTAAATGACATTGCACTTTTTAATTTTTCCAAAGACTCGGCAGCAAATTTATCCCAATCAAGAAAGCCTATTATTAATTTACAAGGACAATTGTAGGAGTCTTTATAATTTCTCTGTGCAATTATTCACCATAAATTCTACTGGCAAAATACAAGGAGTTTGCAAGAAATAACGACTATTATCTGTCTTGAGCGTGAACCCTCCCTCTTCTTTGGTCTTGGGCATCTTCCCCATGCTTTGGTGATACTGACTCCTCGTGAAGCATCACATGTTTGCGAGGTGCGGAACATTGGTCTTCTGAAAAAGGGGGCAGCAGAAGAGCTGCTGCAAAAGCAGCCTTGGCCTCTAGCCGTACAGCTGAGCTGTGGACCCTAGTCTTCCCTGTAAAAAGACTCTTTGTTCACCACTGAATGGCATTAGGCATGGGCTTGCTGAGGGGCCACCATGAAGCCTCGAGTGAGGAGGGCAAACACTAGCCAGAGAATACAATGTGAGAGTCATAGACGGATACATCTTTACGTTCTAGTGCAAAAAATGCATATTTTCACACACAGGTTTGCCAATAGTTTTGTATTTGGATGTGTTCTTTGCATATGCATGCTTGCTGATAGACTAAGGTACGTTTTATTTTCAGTGTATTTTGTCTATCTGCTATTGTGTATATGGAGAAGGTGATCATGCCAAATATACAGGTGTCTGAGATACTAATTTGCATGGGCAAAGATATCTAAACTTGTCATTCTTATAACTAGATTATGTTCCTTGTTTTAACTCTTCCTAATATAAAGTTGCTTGAAGCCCCATGAAAAGAAGTACGTTGTATGATACAAATACTCAAACCCTGATGACACAGAGTTGGACAGCCCTAGTTTAATAATTGAGAAAATTGTTTGGTTTAATTCTGTGTTTCTCATAGCAAAGCTTCACCCTCTGTTAGCAATGTCTGGTCTCTTTTCAGCATAACCAACAGAAGCACCACACAAAAGTCTTACAATGGATGTCTTAATCTCTCTGTGCTTTTAGAGCATTATTTTGAATTCCATCGTGCTGCCTTTTTTCTTTCCTCTTCTGAAGTTTTATTACAACAGCAGAATTCCCAGGGAGCTTTGAGGGCAAGGTTCACATAATATAGCCCTGAAGTTTTGCTTAGGTGGAAGCCATCCCCCAATCCTGGCCATCTTTTGATGATCTTTCTATTTCAAAAAAGATTCACTGGGTAGAATCTTATAGCATTAGCCATATATAGTTTATTTTTTATTTTTTTATTTACTAGACAGTGAGCATCTACAACCCTTTCATGATGCTTTCTTTCTCTGACCTCACAGTGACAAGGCATCTTGTTCTTTAACATTGAGGGAGGCAGAAAAATGCTTGAGTTGCTCAATGTGTGCCTTCTATACCAGTTTCAAAATGGCTTATTCTTCTGGTTTCCATGGTGACAATTAACACTGTTTCAAGGCATTGTTCCAGTCTCCATTTGGGCAGAATTTTCGGTGTGATTTTTAACAAAAAAAAAAAAAAAAAGGTTTTAGGGGGGAAGAAAGCCTTTAGCATAACTGTCAAAAAAGTTATCTCAATCAAGTCTGCATGCACTTCTAAGTATATTTGTTTCAGAAATCCCTGGTTTTGCTAGCTTTGTTTTATAATTCAGTTTTAGTCTTTGTGTTTTTAAAATTCAAGCTCTCAATAAGAATTTTAATTCTTAGTTAAAACAGTGAGCTACTATTCATGGCTACTTTTAACTCTTTTTTTTTTTTTAAGTTTTCTTTATATTTGTATAGACAGGAGTAGCATTTAGAATGGTAGTGGCCTGTGTCTCTAATTTAGATCATTCACAAATCTATTAGGAGGATTCATTAGTCAAAATTGAATTGGCCAAGCAAATACACTTAAAAATGTAAATATGTCCTTTCAATGGAGTATATTTTATTTTTGACTAGACAGAGAGGCCCACAGCAGGTGCTGTGAGGAAATTAAATACTGGAGGCTTATTTACCTTTGCACTCATGAAAAGCCATCTGACTTTAACTTTGCTAATCTCATTTTTGGCTATTGAAAAGTAGTCTATATCATAACGTCCCCAGACTACAGGACACAATGGGACAGCTTCTGCTCACTTACTGCTGTGGGTAAAATGAATATGAAGATTAAATTATCTTCTCACCACAGGATAAAGTAGCCATACTTGATTGGACGACCAGGAACAGATAGAACTGGCAGTTGATTCTCCCCATCTAATGTTTCTGAAAAGATTTCAGCAAGAAAAGAGCAAAAATATAGTAGCATCCAGAAAAAATACAACTCTCCTAGCACTATTATACATACAGCTCAAGGCTCCAAATCGTATCAGAAGAGCCTTCAGAGTGCCTCAAAAATTAAAATAAATATTTTCACCTTAAATTACATGACATCTTACTACCTTTCTTTCACATACCAATACATCTAACAATTAACTAGATTCTCTCAGCTTTTATAGTCTGAGGGTATTGTCCATCAATCACATCTTTCATCAGGCAGTTTATGCTAGGCTGCATGGTGACAAAGACAGCATACACAAAGACAAGTTTTTTAATATAATAACCATTTTAATAGCTATCGCTGTAAGTACTTATATCACATTTCACAGAGAAAATTATTTTATTATGTCTAAAATTAAATTAATTGCTTTTTAGGCTATCATTTTTTATAGGATTCATCAAAACTATTCTTTCTTGACTAATCTGCTGGGTAGGAGCTGTTCAAAGTTGGGGTAAAGAGAGAAGATGAGCTTGTCACAAGTAAAGGTGATAACCAGTAGAAGCCACTCCCAGAAGGCACAGCTAGAGGACTGACTCCCTCTGTCAATGAATGCACGTGGCAGAAGGAAAAATTTGAATAAAATTCTTCTACCTTCCTACAGTACTGGTTTTCCCCACCATTATGTCTAAGTCTTACCAAATTAATTATGTAAATCTTTACATGGGAATCTGATTACATACGGCAGATTGCTCTCTCCTTCAGTCATCATTCTGACAAATAAAACACCACAGGAGTGTCTAGAATGCCTTTTGAGTATTGAGTCCAGAAAATGCAAGTGGACAGTGTGTTTTCTGTGTTGAAGTAACGTGGTCCTGGTAATTGCCTGCTGTTAGAAAATGCAATCAGGATTTCCCATGTATCACAGGCCAAATTCTGAAACTGCTAGAAAGCAACGCTTGATTTTTGTCAATATGCATATTCATGTAATTTTGGATACTCTGACACCCTGATCAACCTTCATTAATAATATGAAATGCTTTAAATCACCTCATTTAAAACATTTTGTTCTGTGATCCACAAATGACTAACATTTGGAGAAGTTTACATAATACAAATGATGTGCGTGTTTAGTGTAAATGAGAGATTAAAATATGAAATAAAAGTATGCAAACATATGCAAGCAAACGCTGAAGATCTATTAACTGAAACAGTGATTTCACACCTTTTCTCTTAAGCTGCTTCCAATTGTATTTTAGTTTGGGATTTTGTATAATATTATGTTTTCCAGGGAATAAAATCACCCGTCTGTGGGCATGTTTTTGACTTGCTGATTAGCACTACTTTGCCTGGACAAAAGCTTTTTATTAGATCTAATAAGTGTGCTTTCCTTAGGGCAACCGTGCTCATTTAGGGCAAAGGAGCAATGGTACCATTTGACTCAGTGACCTAACTTTATTGCTTCAGAGAGAAGTTTTGAAGTTATTATTATATTTTGAAAAGATCCTAAACATGTAAATATGTTTAATATTTTGCCTAGAATCTAATTTTTCTACTCAGAAGTATTTTTACATATACATTAAAATATAATCATGGTTATTTCTGTCTGTCCATTAGACTTTCTAACTATGAAGTTATCCAAAGAGAATCATCGTAAGAAACTATATCATATGAAATAGCTCTCATATTATCTCCAGCAAAACATCTTTTAAGAGAGACTCACTGGACAGTTTGTTAGAATACAGTGTACATTAGGGGACAGGTTTCTATAGTCAACTGTGATATTTGGAGACAGTTTACAGTAATCAGTAAGGAAGTATAGCCGAGGCTTGTCGTTCCCTTTTTTTTCTCTCTATGAACCTCATCTCTAAGCCCACACAGAATCTTTAAGTAAAAGAAACATGAAAACAAAGTATTAATTGAGAATTCACAGAACTTATAGGATAAGAAATAAGCCACATAACATTTATGGATAATTTTATATGACTGGTCTTAGGGAGCAGAGATGAGGGATGGCTCTAGAGCCAACTGTTGACCAAAATAAGCTGTAATATTAAATCCTTCTAGGTTATTTTCTACTTGTAATATTTTAAATTAAAAACTAAATGCTTTATAAACTTCATGTAAAAAGACATAAATCTTTGTCAACTTGATACAATAACTTAGATGTTTGTGCATGTGTGTGTAATACATATTTTTTAACTGTTCCTCAACCATTCAGGGTACTTAGGGTTAGCCTCCTTGTCAGTTTTATTGGAAATAAAAACTTTTACTCCCATGAGCACTATAAAACTCTGCTCAAAAAGATTTTTCTAAGAATACCTCTGTTCTTAATAATATCTCTTTCTCTCTTTTCATTTTAGCGATACAGCGTGGAAATGTCAATCAGACACCTGAAAAAGACAGAGCTGCTTAGTAAGGTCGAAGCTTTGAAGAAAAGTGGCGTTTTACTACCAAATGATCTCCTTGAAAAAGTGGATTCAATTAATGAAAAATGGGAACTGCTTGGGGTATTTGCATTTTTATTACTGTTTGTAGGTTATGTGTACATTTTTTGTGTAAAGTACTCTATCTGTCTGATTTCTAATTTGAGGTACAAATACCTCTCTTTCAATTCACTACCTACATTTCAAACAAGCTATTCATGCTATTATGGGGAAAACATTGCTTTTCCTTTTCTGTTGATTTTTTTTTAATTCTGAGCTTGTCTCCTCTCAGATTTTAATAATTTTGGTTCTTTAATACATAAAAAAGTAAGTAAAATATGCCATGTATTATGGGTATGCACCAAGTCAACTATAATACAGTATATCTGATATACACTGACTGTCATGCTTGAGTGAATGTTAATAGAATTTATTCTGAAGGTACATGTTAGAGACATCCACTGTTTAACTATTTACTGTACTCTTAAGATGAAAAGTGGAGTTGTCACTACAGCTTTCAAGTCATGCTAAAACCACCTAAACAAAGATGCAAATTTGACCCAAATCTGAATTTCAGAATTAAATCATCCTCTGTTTTGTGCCTCAATTTCCAGCTCACTTTAAACAAACACACACAAAAAAAGAAGTTACATGTAATTCATTCCATTCCATGCAGTGATGGTCTGGGTCTCAGCCAAATATTGAGATGCAAGAATCTGGCAAAAAGGCAATATAGAGATTCTGCTATCCAGAGACCAGGATGGCACTGTGCAGGAGACAGTACTGTCCTTTTGTTGGAAGACAGCAGAGAGAGAGAAGTTAACCTGTATTTTTTTCCTCAGCTTCTCTCCTAAATTGCCTTCACTTCAAATCAAGGGTAAGCTAAATTTGTCAATTACCTAAATGATTAATCATAACACTAAGTATGGGTGGTGTCAGTTATGGAGCATAATTTTTCATGCCTTCCATTTTTCTGCCTATTTAATTTTTTTTTTTTTAAGGAATGATACTCCAAAAATATTTTGAATTAGAAGCTCTCCATGTACCTTGATGACTTGGAGAAATGCCAGTGTTGAGTTTATGCCATGCCTAATCTAGATGATTAAAAAACTGCAAGTTTAAGTCCTTGGTTCTCTTCTAAATTCTCTACACCCGGCTGTTGTGCAAAGTAACTTAAAATGCTGAAGCTCTTACTCCAGCCTACTGCTACATTGCCTTTTAATAGTAATTAATGTCTTCTCCTTTATAATATGGTGATTTGAACCAGAGCTACTACATTCTACCGAATTCTCTGGCTTTAGACCTGAGAGATGTGCTTAGTGCATGACATTCTAAAAGGTTGTTTGCTAAATAGATAAGAGCAGCAACTCTATGTGCTTGATAGCCTGTTTCCATTGCATTTGAATGTCTTTTGCTAATTTGATAACTAACAATCATCCTTTTAAAAAACTGTTTAAAGCATATCACATATATTGTTTCCTCATAAGAAATTTAAAATCAATATTACATTGAGGAAACAATATTTAACTATTCCTTATGAATCAGATGCCTAAAAACTGGTTGCCATTTTGACAACAATATTATTCAAATACAACATGCAGTTTTGCAATGACTTGGGGAGAAAGTAGGATAGAGAGACAATTTTAACAAAACCTGAGCCACACTACCACCACCAGGCACACTGTTTTAATTGGCATGATTACATTTTAATTGGCATGAAAAAAATTAAAGACAAGGATTTTAACTTCTAACAATAGTAAAATAGAGGGATATGGTTTTTAATATTACTTTCATCTAAGGTGAACAGTGTGGAATGGAAATACATTAGAATGAAATGTCAGTGGTGCGTACAGTTTAATCTGTGAAATTTTGTCCCCTGTGCTGCATATTACTCTGTCTCAATTGCATATTAAACAACCCTATCAAGGCAGGCATTGGCATCTGCTGTGCTGACACAAATTGTGAATTAAATGAAATTGATGTCCTCTGTCGTATATTTATGAAGACGGACCATTCTCTGAAGTATTCTGTTTATGAAGAATTTATGATTGCAAACTGTTCCAGAACAAAAAAGTGGCAATAAATTCTTTTTTGTGACCCTACCCTCCAAGGGCATTGATTTCACCTCCTGCTGCTACTTTTGTTACAGCATAAAAACAATAGCTAAATCTGGATTCCACTGAGGGTCTTCAAATTATCAATATTTGCTCCATGAAAATACAAGGGTGTTGCCATGAAAGGCTATTTTTCTGTTACAGTCTCCTGAAGATCCTATTTACAGAACACTACACAACAGATAAATGTTTGTTGACTTAATTTTATTTGTGTTTTAAAGCTTTTTTTTTGTAGGTTTAATTTATCATTATAGATTAAATCCTATTGATTCTCCAAAGAGAGTGCTTTCCACCAAAAAGAAAAGAATAGAACAGAAAAGAAAAGCAGCTCGACGGCACCTGCTTGCCATAATGGTTAATCTAAGTAGACTCCTAGCATAGTGAAGTGGGGATTAAGTTAACACACAGATTAGAGCTTCTAGCACCCAAATGAAAAGTGGAAAGAACTGTGAGGTTGAACACTTTCCAAATCAGGTGAAATCAACAGCACAACATGGAGGCTACCTTTTTAAAAAATATTTCTGTCGTACCATTTGGGGAATTGTACTTCACAAAACAAAACAAAAAATGGAATTTAATTCTCTGCGCAATCTACTCTTGGCATCTTTACTATATTAAAGTCAGACTTGTATCTCTTGAACATTTTATGCAGAGAACATTTTACTGAAAATTCTTCTCATGAGAATTGTGAGTACAGTAGACTTTTGGACCAAATCTCCTTCTGTTAACGTATAAGTGAATGAGGACTTCTTAAGTATCCACTGGTAGTCAAAACCACATGCATTGCCTAGGAAATGGAATCCCAAGTGGAACAGCAAACTAATCTGACCTGAATATCAGTACTGAGGAGGAAGGTACAGCTGGATACTTCCAGGTAGCTCTTATGATGTGATTTTGGTTCCTAAACTAATCTATGTCTTTGGTTTTTGTTGTTGTTGTTTTGTTTTAATCTGATGCATTAGAGAACCCTAAGAGAGAAGATACAGGACACAATGGCAGGGCACAGTGGGTCAGGCCCACGTGACCTGCTCTCTCCTGAAAGCGGAAGCCTGGTAAGGCAGCTGGAGGTCAGGATCAAAGAACTGAAAGGGTGGCTAAGAGATACAGAGCTTTTCATCTTTAATTCCTGTCTGAGACAAGAAAAGGAAGGAACAATGAATGCTCAGAAACAACTGCAATACTTTAAGGTAATAAAAAAACAATCAAAGTTGATAAAAAGCTTTCTTTATGGTAGAGATGAAATATTTATCAAGTACATGAAGTATTATACCCATGTATCTATGTATCACTGTGCACTTAAATGTTTCTTTGAATTTATAGACATCTTCCACATTTCTTATATGCTAGTGTCTACATGTGTGTGAAACAGACATCAGGCACAGCAAATACTCATCGTATAGCCAAAGCCTCTGCTGCTTGTGTGTTCTGTGCAATGCTTGTTGAAAAAAGACTTTGATAATTAAAAGCAGATCAGTACACGCTGAAGATTACCAGCAACTCTGAAAGACAGACCTAAATATCTATAAATAACTTGGCACAAACACTTCCATAAATTGATATGATAAAGGCAGATGGTTTAATTTAAGACTACTAATGGTAACAAAACAATTTTTACATATGAAAGAATGAACTACTTATGGAGGGAAGAATAAAGTACAAGAGGTTGCTACCTCTGGACTGTTTTTACGTTCTTATTAGTGGAGAGCATTTCTCCTGGGTTGTTTGTTTCTTACACAGTATCTATTCAAAGGCAGTTTAACATCGGAATGTTCCCCCTTACTACTCAACTCAGTCCACACTGCTTGAATACTCCTGTAAAAGTAGTGATTATTTGGCTGGTGTCAGTCTGAGGCTATAGGGTTATAGAATATGAATTTATTGGTAAGAAACTTTTTTTAGCATGAAAAAGGAGGGTCTTAAGAAAGAAAGAACTTCTTGGTGCCATGAAAGAATTCCTTCTCAAAGTCTTCTAGGATTTAGTTTTATTCACCTCCCCCTACCCAGCAGTCTGTCAGAGAATTTAGTCATCTCATTTCTGCCAGATAGGCAGGCTCATCTTGTTCGTTGACATAAGCCTAGAGAAGGGACCCACAAAGATAAAGCCACACAGCTTCCCGGTAAACTATGTGTGTTATACCTCTGTAAGTTATTTTGCTTAGAGGGCATATTCGTGTATACCTATAATCCCAGGCAGGATTATGAGTTTGAATCCAGCGTGGGCTACAGAACAATACCCTGCCTCAAAAACAAAATAAAAAAACAAAACTCTTTTTGTGAAAAACATCCTCTTCTGTCATTTAATTGACAAACCCAAACTGGAAAGTCAAAGCCCAAAGTGAAAATTCCTGCCAAGGTTGAAGGGATTTATGATCTAAAATTTAATACCCGGACAATTTGCTGTTTCATCGCTACTTCTTCCCCTCTGCAGGATATGGCATCTTCAGAATCTTGCCTCTGGGTTATTTGCACTTCGCATGTGCCTTACAAAGCATCTTAATAATCATGGGGGTGGATGTTGTGAAATACATTTTTTTCTCCATTGTATTTTTATTGCAGCTTTAGTGAACTGGTTAATTCTAGCCTTGGAATTAGATCAAATTCTGGTCCAATTAATTGTGTGAACCTTGGTCATGATTCTTTTATGATCCCTTGTTGCCTCAATTTCTTTCTCTATAGAATGGGTTTCCAAAAGTATTAATTTTATAAGTATGATTTTATATATATATATATGTATATATATTTATTTTTATATATATGTATATATATATAAATTAGTAGTTCTATTTTTTGTAGACATGCTTTAACAAGGGATAGAAATCTCTTAACATAAGCTTAAAGGTGTTATGTGATAATTTCAAACCATAGCAAGTTTTTTATTACAAATATTTATATTATCTACATACTTATATATCTTATACATAGATATTTGAAAACAACTTTTAAAAAAATCTTTGCTATTATTATAGATGGAAGCATGTGTACGTCACATTAACTGTGTTGTTGGTTCCAAAGGACGTTAACTTTATACAGTGACCTCATTTTCACTGGGCCCTACATCAACAGATACTCCCTAGCATTCTAGTCTTTTGCTGAGGTTACACTGCCACTTTCTAGCCCTAAGGGGATGGTCATTACCATAAGCCCACCTTATTGGGCAATTTATTACACGTGATTTTGACCAAGCATAGTCAAAATATAATAAATTTTAAAACTCAAAAGGCGTTTCAAGACTAAAAATGCTGCATTCCACACATGCATTACGTAGCTTAGTTACTATGTAACTCGCAGGAACTCTTAGTTCCAGTTATTCTCAGCTGTGTTTAAATCATTATGTGATCTGCCCTTAAATGATGTGAAAATATGCCTCCCCAAAAGTAAATGGCGCCCCCAAAACAACACGAAAGTTTTGATAATACTCCTGATGAAAAAAATGGGCACATGATGTGCTTAAGTGAAGTGATAAAGTGAAAATTTTAGCAGAATTTGGGCAGCATTATTGGGAAAAGTAAATAAAACATTTGCAGTATTCAAGATAAAGAACATGAAATAAGATCTAGTTTTTAGTGAGCAGTATTAGTGTGTACAATAGTAATTTTTGTGACAGTAATGTAGACTACTGTATGCAGTTTCAAGCATGGATGCTCAGACCTACTGTAAGAACACTATAGGTAAATTTTCTTTTGTCGGTACTGAGGTTTGAACTCAAGGCCTCACTCTTGCTAGGCAGGAATTCTATGACTTGAGTCACTGTACCAGCCCTTTTTTGTGTTGGGTGTTTCAAGATAAGGTCTTGCAAACTATTTGCCTGGGCTGGCCTTAAACTGTAATCCTCCTGATCTCTGCCTCCCAAGTAGCTAGGATTATAGGTGTGAGCCACCAGTGACTGGCTAAATTTGAGTAATTTTAGGGTACTGAGCTCTATCCATCCTTTGTGACTTCCTCTCAATGGCAGTCTCCTTGGAGACCCACAGATACCAAGGGTCTACAATATACCTAATTTGTCTTTTACTAAATGCCTCTTGGTATCTGAAAATAATCATAGAATTTTTATTTCAAAAGTACAATAGAGACTCTCCCAGTCTTTTTGCTATTTTTTCTCTTCTTCAGAGATTTATCTTTTTTCTTGTATCTTTACAATCAGTGTCATTATTCATTAAATAATTGCTTTCATACCCCACTCTATTTTGCTATTTTTAAATAGCATAATAACTACAGAGAATCTTCTACTCTAAACAAAATGTGGAACCTTGACCATAATGTACACTTCGCCATGTGGTTCCCTAGCCCCATCCCATCCTCTGCTTCCCCCCTAAGGAATCATGATCCTGAACTCCATAATGATTCTCTTGCTTCCCTTTAAGAGAATATTTTTTATAATTAAATGAAATTCCATAATTTTAGTTATTTCTCATTTATTGAAAAGATATTCCTACTATGTTATCCTTTAGGACTTCCTTCATTCATAAGTAGTAAGGAATCACTCTATAATATTCCATTTTGAGTATACACTTGTATCTCATTTAGTCCTCATGCAACCCTGTGAAATAGACGTGAGGATCCTGCATTTGTGAAGCAGAGCCCCGGGAGGTTAAGTTTGTGTGTTTAAAGTCACCTACAGTGAGTGGTAGAATTAGAGTTTAGATATAGTACTGGAGGGCTTTGCAGTCCCCCCTGAGAACCACTATAGAAAACTGATACTCACTGATACCAACTGAGTGTCCTACATCAGGCAACTCAAAGGGAAGAACAGGACAGAACTAAAGTTCATTGTTCCTTTATGGTAGATTTGTCAGGGTTTTTTAATTTCAGCAGGGGGATTTGAAATCAGGGCCTTGTACTTTCTAGGCTGGTGCTTTACCATTTTGAGCCACTCCACAGCTCTGTCAGTTACTGTCGTCAGCAGTTTGGACAGAATAGCAAATAGCTTTAGGGATGAAAGATGTTGTGGGTTTGTTTTACAATTTTTGTACAATATCAGTGTAAATTTCTTTTCCATGTGTCATCTTTTAAATTGAAACTTCAAACTCGTTGAGATTATGAAGCCCTGATGAATTTTTTTTTCTTTACGACTTTAAGCACTGTTTCTTTTCTAAAGGTTTTTTTGTTTTGTTTGTGTAGTGCTAGGAATTGAGCCTCCTGCACACTAGGCAAGTGCTCTACCAGTGAGCTATATTTCCAGGATTAAAGTTGACCTTCAGGAATTTGAGATGAGTTAATGAGATCTAGCATAAGCACTTCTGTGGTTATCATTGTTTTTTTCAGAAAATTTTATACATATCTATTGGAATAAGTGTCTTCCATAGCCAAAATTTTAAATGTTTCTAAGCTATGTGCTATTTACTCTTAGTGCTTAGTGTATGATTAAATCAAGTGTTCTGTGTCTTACCACATTCACTGGAAGAATGGAGCCAAATGTTTGTAATAGAATAAAAAATAATATAATGTTTATAACTATCAAAACCATAATTGGTAATAAGAGTATACAGAATAAAAACTTTTTATTTGCCACAGGTCCAAAAAATAGATACTGTCTGTCTAACTGTTGAAACACAAGTTATTAAAGGATCTTCACATGTGGGAAAGTCTTTGACATGTTCTTCTCCTTCTTGTGGGCTCCCATGTATCTCCTGCTATCATTGGTCATATAGAAGAGGACAGACTTTATCCACAGGGATATGATTCTCTATTCTCTAAAACCTCAGGCTTTTAGCAGAACAGGTTCCTTTATATGACCCCCAGAGTAATGATGGATAAACTGTGGTGCACAATCCAGGAGACAGGAGGAAGGGCACTGCATATAAAGAGGGAAGTCCATTCCTTTGTACAAAGAACTGCATTTTCTACTCAGTGCTTGTCTTGGATGACCAAAGAGATCAGGATCTTAAATTCTCAGGGAAATAAAAAGCAATTATAAAATGTTTTCTTTTTCTTTTTGGCAGTAAATGTGATAAATGTGGAATTAGACACAAGAGAAAATTCTACCCAATAAACAAAGAGTCAAAGCCCAGCAAGAGAGGAAAAACACAAAGGTGTGAACCTAGCGTCTTGGGACAGAAATGCAAAATTGTCACAGAGTGAACACACTGTGACAACAAAATGTGAGGAAGCACGTGAAGGATTTAAGAGGCCAGCTGGCAAAGGGTCCTTTACAGCTATGAGTACAGCTTCAAAGCCATTGGCCAGAAAG